GCCAGGGCCCCTCCCCCAGCCCCACCAGTGTCGGGAGGATGCTCGGCCGGCCTCCCTCTCCTCGGAAGGGAGAAAGAACTGAACATCTGCAGTCTGACAGGGCAATGGGAGGGAGCATTTTTCATCATTAAGAGCCATTTTCCTCAGTTGTCAAAGAGGCGGTTGTGCCCGTGGCTCACCTGGCTGGTCAGGGGTGGTCCTGCCTGACAGCCGTGGACTGCAGGACGGACACCTAGCATTTTCAGGAGGGATGGAGATGCAAAGGGGCCACAACATCGCAGAGGCCAATGCAGGATCAAATCCAAGCAATACCATGACGCCTCTGGCCTTCGTCTTGGCACTGCTGTGATCACAGAGGCAAACCGTCCTTTCCATGACTGTGTTTTTCTGACATTTAGTGATGACCAGAAGACGGTTTCCAGCAGTCCACCTTCTCAGAATCCATGCCCGCGTGATGCTAGTCCATGTTTCTGAACTCCGCCTGCCGAGTGCTCATCTCATTCAGCACAAGAGATACGGTCTTGGAAAGCAAGGGGCTGTAGGTTCTCTCCACCTGGGAACGTATCTTTGGGGGCCTTAAAAGGAAAGTGGCACAGGAAAGAAAGAGCTGGTGGGGCCCTGGAGCTCCGGCTGCTGGGGATTTGGGCTTATCCATCCTGACCTGTCTGCCTCTAGTGTTTGTCCCGTCCATGTGGGCAGCAGGGGGTTCTCTTCCATCTCCCCCCGGGCCTCCCCTGGGGCTGAAGATGGGCAGGGACAACATGCCAGCATCGCAGAATTCAGTGCAGTTTACACATCTCAGTGACCTCTCATCTCAGCAAAATGTGTGCCACCAGACCCATTACTGACAATGCCACCGTCCTGGACTAACATGGCTAGGAGTTGGGTAATCAGGTTCACCAGCAATAAAATCCTGGGCCGAGGCAGACCCCAGTGTCATGTCTTCCAGGCACTGAGGTGGCCCCAGTGAGGAGGTGGCCCCAGTGTGGAGCCAGCCCCAGAGTCAGGTGCCGTCCTGCAGCATCCGCTGTCCCCACAGCCCAGGGCTGGGAGGAGGGAGCTGGGCTTTCCTTAAAGGCAGCTTCCACCTTCCTCTTCCCAAAGTGGCTTCCTGAATTTGTAAATGTGAAAGTAAAATAAAATTTAAAATATGTGCCAAACCGGATACATGCTGCAGATCAAGGGGAGGGTGCTCCGTGGCTGCATGTGTCCCTGCATGTGTCCCCTGAGGCCTGGCGATGGGGATGGGCGCTCAGGCTGCGAGGGGTGGTCCGCAGTGGGGTGGCCCGGGGTGGGGTGGCCCGTGGTGGGGAAGGGAGGCCCGGCCTTCCACCCTAGGCTGACACACCAAGGACGAACCCTTGAGTTACTTTTTATCAAGTTTCAGCAAAGTCTTGTTAAAATCACTTCAGGCCTGTTGAGCTAACTGATGACCTCTCTTGTTTGAAGTGTAACATTGTGAGTAATATATGTGAATTTAAGTCCTTAAAGTTAGTCCTAATTAAAATAGCATTTTCTTTCAGAAACAAAAGGTAGGCCACCTGGGTTTTATTTTGTTTTTGTTTTTTCTCCTCTCTGGCATTTGGATAAGTTTCCTAACATATTTTGCCAAACAAGTAGAGGTTGCTACCAAAATATCTACTGGACATCTCATAGTACGTGCAGAACAGAGCCGCCCCGACCCCCTGCAGCTCCTGACCCGTGCCCAGTCCCTGGACAGCCAGCCCCCTGGAACTGTGCAACCCCTCACCCCTCCACTGAGGTCTTCTGACTTCCTTCTGAACCTCCAAAACCCACATCCTTCCTTCTCAGCCCTAGAGCAGGCGGTCTTTTCCCTCCGTCCCCTGAGGCTCTGTGACCTCGCCCAGTTCACTCCCCACACTGCTGCCCAGAGGGAGCTTTACTGTTGCAAACCTGGCTGTGTCCTTCCCAGCAGTTCTGGAGACTTTGCTGCCCCCTGGGCTGGGCACCACCTCAGGACTGGGGTGGGGGTGGGGGTGCAGCTCATTCCCAGGTGGGGACACCAGGGAAGGGTGGGGGCTGGGCAGCTGGAGAGGGCAGATCCGCGGGGGAGCCTCAGTGGTAACATTAGGCCTGGATCTGAAAGAAACACTAGCTGCAACTCTACTTCTAGGAATTGGTTTTAGGGCCAGGAGCCCAGTTCCTAGATTGAAAAGTTTATTAATTTCATGTTGGCTAAATGGGTTTGGACCTTAAATTGCTTCTGTCTTGGATTTTGCCCTTCCTCATGCATTTCAGTTTTATTGATGTAATGTTGAGAACTATTGCAGAGACATGTCCAGAGCCAGGATGAGACTTGGCTTCATGGTGGCTGACTAGTGCAGCAGATCACCTTGGGCAGGGGACCCCGCGGGCCTCTGCCTCAGTTCCTGGGGGGAAAAGCCTCTGACAGTGGTGGTGGTGGGGCTCCCAGAGGGTTACTGGGGAACCCCAGCAGGGATTGCTCAGCCAGAATCTTCAGAAGCAGAAAGCAACAAGAAACAGAATGAGTAAGACAGCAGCTTAACGTGGAGTTAAAATGCACTATCTTGGGCATGTATCTGAGTTTATTAACTTGCTAGAAAATGATAAAAGAGTGGGCCACCTCAGAGAGGGGATAGAGTGGAGGAAGGGGCTGAAAGCCAGCATGCTAGCATAAAGAGATAGTCAGCGAAGTAGGCAGCCAGGTAGGAAACGGTCCCAAGTTCACTTCAGAGGCTCATAAGAGCATCATATTCTTATCAGATATTACAGAAGAAATCGGAGCAGGCGGGTCTAAGATGCACATGCCTTGTATTGTTTTATTTCTGATTGATGGATATAAAGAGTCAAATGATAGGGCACACCTGAGGCTGAGTCGGACTCTGCAAGCTTCAGCCCAGCAGTGTTGGAGGCTGGCAGCGACAGTGAGGGAGGGCACCGTGGGCTGGGTCCCCAGCAGGGTCCCCAAGAGGGAGCTCTGACCCCGCACAGGCCTCTGCCCTGGGTTCTCTCGAGGTATAAGCAGAGACGCAGAATAAACAGGATGCCTGTTTCTCAGGACTGGGACTAACCTTTCTTTATGTGACTGTAGTTTATGGAGCATCAGCTCAAGTTTCTCTGCAGGGAGTGACAGGAACAATTCTGGGGGACAGCATCCTGGCAGGAGAGCCCAGCCCCACAGGCAGGCGCTCTGGTGGGGAACGCTGGTGTGAGCACTCCCAGGAGAAGAGGCAGGGTGCAGTGTTCTAGACTGTGGAAGTCCTGCATGGACAGAGACCAGGGACATTTGGTGCACTTGAAGAGAGAGGTGCACGGTGGTTGAGCTGCGGCTGCTGACAGTGGAGGCAGCTCGAGATGAGGCTGGACTCTGCGGGCGGCAGGGCCTTTGGGACTGGGTTTTATGCTGAGTGTACCATCAGCCTTGGAGGGGTTTTACCTAACTTAGCTCCATGCACTGTCTTGTCCTGAAGAAAGTTCTCTCTGGCCACTGTGGGGATAATGGGTTGGAGAAGATGAAAACCTGAGGCCCAGAGACCTGCTAGCAAGCTGGCACAGCCACCCGAGGGGGTGATGACGGTGACTGGGCGAGGGTACTTGCAGTGGGCGTGGGGAGTGCAGCAGAGGCAGAGCCAGTGTGCCTGGTGCCCGGCTGGACTGCCCTGACCCCCAGACATGTGAGGGCAAAGGGCATGGCCCACGCCGAGCAGGGGCGAGCAGATGTGCACGTGAATAGTTGGAATGGAGGGTGCTCAGTGTGTTCCCAGGGCTCAGAGTGGGGTGCGGGCGGGAAGGAGGACTGAATGCCAGGGCACCAGCAGTGGGTGTGCGCGCATGTCCCCAGCACTGGGGGAGGGCACGAGCGCGGGAGCACGACAGCCTAGCGAGCAGTTGGTGCGTAGAGGATGGGGAAGTAGCTGAAGTGACCGTGAGTGGCTGGGGCCTTGTCCAGAGTGTTGTGTGCCCTGCGTGTGAGCGTGGGCTTCATTATTTGGGTAATGGGGGCTCTGGAGGGTTTTTTTTATTATGGAAATTTACAAAGACAAGCCAAAGTAGAATTTCCACTCATCTCCAAGTAGCTCTGAGCTTCAATGGTTTGTGTGTGACAAACATGTTCCCTTTCTTGTTTTGTCTGCCCCTGCCCCACGCACTGACAGTGACTCTCTCGGGCACACATCAGGGGCTCGGGGTTGGGGTTTGATCCTCAGTACTTTGACACCAGAGCCCACAATCATGACTACTTGTTGCATTACACTGACTCAAACCCATTGTCTTAAACCTGGCCTACCCCGTCTCCTCA